GTGTAAGTTAGTGCGGCCTTGAGGCTGCTCTAATTTGCACCAGGGCTGAGCAGGCTCCTGCACGGCCCAGAATACAGGGTGGCTTCCCTGTCCCAAGCAGGACTGGAGTAATTGAGAATCAGCCCTAGAGAATGCAGTGCCCTGAATGTCCATCCGGTCCCAAGAAGAAATAATGGCATTCCCCTTTAAGAGGCGGGGCCCAAACACAGCTGGAGGAACAGGACAGAAAGGGTTAAATGTGAATACAGAGTGTCTGTGTTTATATAGATCTATACATACTTAAAAAACAAGGCCAAGACTCTTCCAGCCCCTCCCTCCCTCCCCTTGCGGCATTGCTAGAAGACAGGAGAGGGGGGTGATTCCCCAGCTCAGCGGAAGAAGCCACACTGATCTGTTTATAAGTTGCACATGTGTGGGTGGATGGTGGGAATTGCCTCATTCACCTTGATACTCCCCCAAAGCCTGGAGGGTTTGTGGGTTGTGAAGACCTTGTTTCCCCTCCCTCCCCCATTGATTCCACAGCCGCTCCAGTGTGAAGAGTTATTTACCAATAAGGGCCATCACAGAGCGCAGGGCTCCAGGAAATGGTGCGGGTGCTTCTGCATTTCGGCTGCGCGCTCTCACCTCGGAGGCTGCTGAGTTGGAAATTCCCAGCCGCGGCCACTCATCAGATGCAAAACCCCTGAGTTGCTCCTGTGTGACTTGGACATGGGAGGAAAGCAGAACCCAAAAGCAGAAATTGGTAGCTGTCTGTCTGTCTGCATGGATATCATGTGCCAGGAGTGGAACAAAAGACAGCAAAGCCAACAACCACTGACCCACATCATGGATGGCCTGGCTAGTGGCTGCCTAGACAGTGCTGGTAGTATTCACGTTCCAGTAGCACCTCGAGGCCTGACCCGGATCAGGGTCCCATTGTGCCAGGCACTATACGGTGACACAGTGAGTGATTGGTAGCTCCTGTCCTGAAGTAGGATGATCCAGTGGTTAGGGTAGTAGGGTGGGAATTAGAGGACCTGGGTTCAGTTCTCTGCTCTACCACCAGCAAGTCCCTTCGCCACCCTGTGCCTTAGTTTCCCACCTGTACAATAGGGACCATGGAGCCTCAGGGAGCCCTACCTCACACAGCTGTTGGGGGCGGGGGCAGAGCTGTAAAGATGCGGGGGTGGGGGAAATCAGGTACTATGGTGAGGGGGCCAGCTGAGTCCTTGCGAAGAAGAATCTTACAATCTAATTCAGGAAAGAGTGAGAGGCAAGGATTATTAATTACCATCAGACCTGTTTTTCTGAAGACCAGACTCAGCCCTCCAGTGCTGTGGGGAGGTAACCTGCCTCTCTCCTATTAAAAGACTGCTAGGAGCCCCTATCAGCCACAGAATCACTGGAGATGGAGGCAGTGTCCCTGGGCAGGGTAAAGCCACCAGTCCCCTGAGCCATTCAGCCCCTGCAAGTGCCCCTTCTATAGGAAGATAGAGACAGGCCCCTCACTGTAACTCTTCTCTCTCTCAGTATGTCCACACTGCACTGAAAACCTGGGTCCGTGAGACCTGCACTTGCGGACTCAGTGTTTCCAAGTCCGGGCTTGAGTGTCCACACTGCATTATAAACCTGGATTCCAATTGCTGGACCCACGTCTCACAACCGTGCTAACATGTCCATATTGTACCACGCAGATCTTCTTGGGTCTGCGGCTTGAGCTGTGTCCACACCAGGGGCGCCGGAACGGTGGGGCCAGCGGGCCATGGCCCCCATCACTTTTAAAAGTGGAGGGCACTGCCCCCCCTTTTTACCTGCTGTAAGGGTGAGCAATGGGAGGAAAGGGGGCAGAGAGGAGCAAGCAGGGGGTGGGGTCATGGATGGAAAAGGCAGCATGAGAGCAGGGTCTTGGGGGAAGAGGTGGTGTGGGGGCAGGGCCTCAGGGGAAGAGACAGCGTGGGGGCGGGGTCTCAGGGGAAGGGGCAGCAATGGGGGTGGGGCCACAGTTCGGGCCCTGGTGGATCCCACTTTTAGGGGGTTTCCACTGTTCCTGGTTCAGGCTGTAAATGACAGGGCTTGGACCCAAGTCACAGCAAGATTTATGCTCTGACCCCCCACATCCCCTCCAGCAGGATTGTAGGGGTTTTGAGTGCTTGCTGAGCAGAGTCAGACTGATCTGTATGTGGACCAAAAAGGGACTTGAGCTGAAACCTGGGTCATAGCCTGGGCTTAGTGTACAGTGTGGACGTACCCTCAGTGTTTAAGCAGTTCCAGGTTTCTGTTAAAGGAAGCTTTATTGGTACCAGGTGCCCACGACATGGAAGACCCCTCACAGGCGAGCAATGTCTCTGCAAAAGCTATAAGCAGCAGCAGTTAAATTGTGTGGGAGGGAGGGGACAGAGGGGGCACTCTCTCAGCCTGCCCCACCTGGTGGGGTGAGCACAAGGATACCCCTCCACAGTGAGTGCAGGGAGAGCTCCCTCCCTCTAAACCCCCACTCCTTCCCTTAATCCCTTCTAGGCAGTGCTGGAAAATGCCCACACTGGAGGTGGGGGTGGGAAGTGCCTAGGGAGGGCCTGAGCCACAACCTCAGATCGTTCTGCCTGGCCCTTGAGCTCCAGGCCAGGGAGGCTAGTCCCTGGCCCCTCCCCTGCTGTCCCCCCTCTCCTGCAGCCTCAGCTTGCCACACCGCCAGCACTCTGGCCCACTGCTCCTGCCAGGCAGCGCCGGGCGGCGAGCTCTTGCTGCTCTGATCGGCATGGTAAGGGGGATGGGAGTGGGGGGGGGGTTGGATAAGGGGCAGGGGATTCTGGGGGGCAGTCAGGGGACAGGGAGCAGGGGGCAGTTAGATGGAGTGGAGGTTCTGGGGGGGATGGTCAGGGGATGGGGAACGGGGGTGTTGGATAGGCATGGGAGTCCTGGGGGACCTGTCAGGGGGTGGGGGTGTGGATAGGGGTCAGGGCAGTCAGGGGACAGGGAGCAGAGGGGGTTGGATGGTGGGTGGGATCCTGGGGGGTGGGATCCTGGGGGGCGGTTAGGGGTGGGGGTCCCGGGAGGGGATGATCAGGGGATAAGAAGCGGGGGGGGGGGAGGGATTGGATGGGTCAGGGGCTCTGAGGGGGGCAGTCAGGGGACGGGAAGTAGGAGGGGGTGGATGGGGGCAGGGGCCAGCCTTCCCTACTCAGCCCTCCATACAGTTTCACAACCCTGATGTGGCCCTCGGGCCAAAAAATTTGCCCACCCCTGAGGCAGACAGACTTTGGACCCAGGATCAGCTGCTAGAACCCATCTCTAGATTTTACCAGCATACTTGACAGCTTCCAGCTGCCCTCGGACTGGACCACCCTGGTCTCAGCGTGTGCTCCTTCCGCTAAGTGGCCCCTGCTGTGGAGCAGGGAGAGTGCTATACAGATGGTACTGGGGGTGGCCTGGATCACACGGATTGCCGAGGGTGCGGAGCAGCCAAACCTACTGAAAATGCGTCATTTACTGGAGTTTCTTCTCATACCAAAATCCCGAGCAGTCGTATCGCTTGAGGTTGGTACGATTGTCCTTTGTGGCCACTGAACCTTTATGTCTTGTCAATATACACTCTTCGGCCACCCACTGACGCCCTTTGTTCTTTGTGGTTGATTTCACTCTTACCCACACTGAGATTATTATCACTGGGTAACTGGGCTGCTTTCTCCACTCAGAACTCTTTCAATCATCATTGGTTTCAGTTGTTTGCTTGCTTGTTACAGTATGCAGTGGATAAACTATGTGAGAAAAGCAGAGGGTCTAGCATACCTCAGCTGAAATCAATTTTCATGCGGTTGGTACGACAGGGCTTACAGTGCATCCTTCAGTGGCCCGGCTTGATTGGTGGTTTTTTCAGGCCTTGGACACCTTACAACTCTCTCCTCTTTAAGCACTGATTGTGTCCACATGTATGACAGGAATTGCATGTGCTCTTCTGTGTCTGTGACTGGAGCTGGGCAACTAACTGATTTTTCAAAATGTCAAAAAAAATTGTTTCAGGTTGGATTGAAAACAAATGTTTTTTTTTTTAAAAAAAGGTCATTGAATCAAAAAGGAAACAAAATAGTTTCAAGTTGAATGAAGCATTTCACCTCAATTGCGACCAATTTTCAACATTTTTTACTTTAAAAAAATAAAATTAAAGGAGAATTTGAAACTAAAATCAGTTCCAAACGAAAAATTGAAAAATGAAAGCTTTATTTTGAAGACGCCCGCATGAAACACTTCAATCATTTCAGATTTTGGGAAGCATTTATTTTCAGAAATCAACTATTTGGTGGAATCAACAAAAATTCACAACCTGTGTCACCAAATCTGCATTTTTTTGCAGATTGGCAAGTGTCAGCTAAAAACTGTTGCCCAGCTGTCATATGAAATGAGGATAAGTTGTGTGTCTGCATCTGGTGTATGAATTGTGTGGGGTCTACAGTGTGCAAGTATAATTTGTGTAATCAACTGTGTGTGCACTTGTGCCATTGCACCTCTGCATGAATTGTGTCTGTGTGTGTGTTTGTGGGCACTGTGCGTCACTCTTTGGGTGTTGTAGGTACTACTGTATGTGTGTATGAATTGTGTCACTCTGTGTGTGGGTATGTGTTGTATGAACGCGTGTGTGCGACTTGTGTTTATGAACATGTGTGTTACCGCACATGTGTACGTCTGCATTGGGCGAATGTGTCTGCATCCTGTGTGAACTGTTGTGTCTGGAAATTCTCAATGAAAATATTCAGGGTACAAATATAGCCCAGAAGTGACGTCCCTGGAAACTGTAACAAGGGTCCCCCCTCGCAGACCCCTGGAAAGGCCAAAGGTGGGATGTGCGTGCCTCTCGGGGACCTTAAGTTTCTTTGCAAACTTCCCACTGTTGCGACACTGAGTGCGTGGGCAGGCACCCTCTGCCCTTTGTGTGTGCACGGGGGTGTGTGTGTGGGGGGGGGGGGAAGGGAATGGAACAGGCCATTGAGAAATTCAGCGGCGCTGCGGGCGTGAGTAACTTTCTCTGCTCACCCAACAGCTGACGATGACGAGCAGCGCCGCTTCCTGGTTGCGATCCACAGCGGGACCCATGTGTGACACCACCGACACGGAGAGACCGGGGCGCTAGGGGCGTGACATCAGGGGCGTGCCCCGCGGCGGCGGCTCCTTGCCCGGCACTCGGCTTCGCCCCTCCAGCGTGCCGGACAGCCCAGCCCCAGCCCCAGCCCCGAGCATGGAGACGGGCCCCCTCCTCGCCCTGCCGCACGATAAAGCAGAGCTCCTGCCTGAGCTGCAGAGAGGGGCCCCCACGCTGGATTTCTGCCTAGAGCAGGGCCCCCGGCTGGCCAGAGCCCAGGATGATCTGTCTCTCAACAGGTAGGTAAAGCTCCGGCGGGGCCGGGGGCTATTGGGAGGGGGCGTGTGGCGAGCGGGGCGGGGGGTCTTAGGTCCCATCAGAGCTTTAGCTGGCAGGGAGCGAGAGGCATCAGCTGTGACCCCCCCCCCCTCCAGGTGCTAGAGCGGGGAGCTGGGAGCGGGCAAGGGAGCTGGGAAGTGAAACAAGCCCCAGGAGCTACCTATACCACCTCTTAACGCCCTGCCCTGTTCTTCTGCGCGGGGGGCCAGAGAGCCCCTCCAGGAGGCTGTTTAAAGGAGTGCTTCGTGGTGCCTTGAGAGCAGCAGGAAGTTTGAGAGAAGGGCTGAAGCTGGTGGCTGTGTGTGAAGGGGAGACATAGGAGTTAGGCTGCCAGGACGTATATAAAGAGCAGAAGGGTGTGTGTGTGTGTGTACATAGATACACACTGGCATGTAACCAGGCCAACAGGCACCGGTTGGTGGTTGTGGCCGAAGCTGTGACATCAGTGCTGCTACAAAACAGGTGTGGACTGGGAGTTCTGTTCTGTGGGAGCCCGAATCCAATTCTGGATGGCTTGGCAGCTTCCTGACTCACTGCTGAACCCAGTGGTTCCTGTGCCCCCAACACACACACCTCTCCAAGAATCACAATATAAACCCACGTTGCTGGGGTAGGCTGGAGACCAGCAGTGTGAAGGAAAATCAGTCCTATGAATATATCAGGAAGACTGTGCTAGGTCACTGTTTCCAGCAACCATTTTTAAAGGGCAGCCCAACTCTGAACCAGTGACTGAACCAGTGGATCTGCATGCTTCCCTGTTTGTCTCAATAGGCTTGGTCTCCCAGTCAAGAGATGACTTTCTGTTTGTCAGTCTTACAAACCTGGGAATCACCCTGGGCTCTTTCTAAATTGTGCATCATCATAACCCGTAATAAGGATTCCTGGAGCGAAACTTAATTATTAATAACAATAGCGACAGATGAGCCAGACTAGAACCTAGCTCAGCTTCCCATCACTGTGGTGGCTTGGCTGAGCTGACAGGAGCAGAGGCTGTCAGTTGCAGGAAAGGCATCTATCTAGGTATTTATTACTGTACTCAGATCTGATTCTCAGTACACACAAGGGACAGTGCTGTGGGATCAGAGGGAAACTTTTCTATACAGTCATTTTCCTGCTCATAACTACCCATCAAACACTCTTCTACCTAGCATAGCTTCAAATGCAACATGGACAGGAGCTTGCTGGAAATTGGGATACAATTTCAGGGAAGTAAATTCTTTTTGATGAACAGCTTCACTCTGAGCACAATGACTCAGATCCCCAAAGGAATTTAGGTGCCCAGTGATTTACATGGGAATGAGGCACCTAAATACCTTTGAGAATCTAGGTCAAAACCACTATAGCTGGAATTTTAGGGCCACAGTTAGAGCCAGATTTTTCAAGAGCTCAGCATGTTGGGTGGACATTGAGTGCTGAAAATCTCAGTCTGAAAATCTGGACTTAGAGTCACACTGGGAGTTGCTGGCTCTGAACTGATCCTTATTTAGGAGCCAGAATGGGAACTGACAGCTTGAGAATCTGGCCCTATAACAAGCAGCGCATCACAATGCATTGGAATAACCTGGGATGGCCATTATACTGCACTAGATATACCAAGATTCACCTTTTAGTTTACTTTACAACAGGCACCACTAGATAGATTGATAGAGCCAGTTCCTAATTTGCTATATATCGGTGTCATTTCAATTACTCCAATGGAACTGTGTCAATTTACAGCAGCTAAGGATTTGGCCCATAAAATTTTACTCTTTCTCTCTCTCTCACACACACATGCTTTTGTTCAGATATTTGAAGGTAGTAAATAGCAGCTTTCTGCCACATGCAATGTTTGTTACTGACCTGAAACTCAAACAAAATTGACCAGCTACACGCCTCTGGGCAGATGGAGCCTGTACATTCTGCATATCAATGAGCAAGTAATTTGCATAAGCCCTCTGTGAAGTATACAGAGCCAATGATTGGTGAGTGTGGTCACCTCCAAGCATTGTTTAGGTGGCCCATTGTTCTCATAGACTCTGGCAGGCCCCGTATTCACACATTGCCCTGTTTTCTTTAATAGACAAGATACCACACAATCACCAGAGATTTACATTATCATTATTTTGATTGCAATAGCACTTAAGGCTCCCAGGCAGGGATCAGGACCCCAGTGGGCAGGGACCATCTTGTCTATGCAGGAGACTGGCTTTTCTCAGAGGCTGGTCTAACTAAGGACCATCACAAGCTACCTTCCACTCCAAGTGCCAGGCGGAGTCGGGACTTGGACTACTCCTGCCTGCCCTCTCTGACACCCACAGAGCAGCATCAGCATTTAAAAAAATAAAACCCAAATCAAACCCTCCCAAAACCAACCATTCCACTGCGCCCACAGTTCTCCCCCTGGGGAGAGGATGAGAGAGAGAATGAACCACATGCTTAATGCATGACTGGAAGGCAAGGCCAGCTCTAGGATTTTTGCCACCCCAAGCAAAAAAATTTTTGGTCGCCCCGCTTTTTTTTCGTGCCTTCCCAACCCCTTCCCTAAATCCCCGGCCCCGCCTCCTCCTCTGGGTGTGCCACATTTCCCACCCCCATTGCTTCCTGTGGCTCCCCCCCACACCCTCCTGCTCTAGCTCACCTCCGCTCCGCCTGCTCCCCTGAACACGCCACTCCGCTTCTTCCCCCTCCCTCTCAGGCGAGGGAGCAGCAGCGCATTCAGGGGAGCAGGCGGAGCGGAGGTGAGCATGGGGGGGAGAGCGCAGGAAGTAATAGGGGGCAGAGGAACCACTCCCCGCCCCAGCTAACCTCCGCTTCACCACCGCCACCTCCCCCAAGCGCACTGCCACTTGGCTTCTCCCCCCCTCCCTCCCAGGCTTGCCGCGCAAAACAGCTGTTTCGCACGTGGCAAGCCTAGGAGGGAGGGGGGAGAAGCCGAGCGGCGGCGGCGCGCTCAGGGGAGCAGGCGGAGGGGGCACATTTCTAGGGGCAGCATGGCAGGCACCGGAATGCCACCCCTAGAAATGTGCCGCCCCAAGCACCTGCTTGTTTTGTTGGTGCCTAGAGCCAGCCCTGCTGGAAGGGCAGATACTGCGGTGATGAAAGCAGGACAAGGGCCTCAATAGAACTCTGTGTGTGTACAGCACCTGACACGATGGGGTCCTGGGCCATGCTTGGGATTCCTTGGCGCTATCACAATACAAATCACAATTGCACCGGACAGACAAATAACACAAAAGCAGCCTCTGCCCCAGGCAGCTCACAATCTGGGATTTAGACAGAAGGTAACAGGTAAATGGACAGTCATGGAGGGCAGGTTGGGAGAATAAGATTCCACTAGAGACAGGTGAGTATGTATAAGCTAGTAGTCAGGGAGGTCTCAGTAATCACAAGTGACCACTAGCCTAAGCAGTGCCAGCTGCGCATGATTTGTAGGGATCAGCAAAGGCAGACATTAAGAAGAAATTTAGAAGAGGCTGAGGTCATGGGAGAACGAAAAAGAAAATATGGGGTGAAATCCTGGCTCCATTGACTTCTATGGGAAGTTTCCCATTGATTCCACTGCCAGGATTTCTCCCACAACCCCTCCAGTCTGGGATGCCAGTGGGAGCTGTTACTGAAGGTGAGAGGAAATGGAGTGGCTGGCTCCTCACCACTCTACAGTTTCAAGGAGGCCCTGGGAACTGGAAAGCAGCTTGGGTTGGGAAGGAAGGCTGGTTCTTGTCTCAGGCTGGCATGGTGACATGTTCCCAGTTCCAAGGTGCTCAGTCTCCAGCCAGCCTGCCTGCCAAGTTTTGTTCTGCTCCACCTGTGACATTTCATGCAAATGGTTTAACAAGATCATGCCACGTGTGTAGTTGAAAAGAATTTGAATATGTGTAAGCTTTTATGGTCAACACGCTCTGCCCTGAGCAGTGGCTGGGGTAGGGGCTTGCGTTTGTAGGGGAGTGGGAATCCGACTGAGGAGCTGGATGGGTTGCTACTGGGGTTGTGGGGACTAGAGAGGTCTGGGGGGCAGCAAAGCTACCAGTGAAGGAGGAGGGATGGGCGGACTGCTTGGTGGGTGCTACAGCAGCCTATAGTGGCCAAAAGATGCAACTGCAGAAAAATACTCCCAGAAGAATGTGAGAGGTGTCAGCTGAGATGCAAGAATGTGTGACAGGGCTGCCTAACGCATGCCCTATTTGTATTTATCGCAGCCGTGGCTGGAGGCCCCCGCGCCATTGTACTGGGTGCTGTGCAAACACATAACAAAAAATGGCCCCTTGTCTGGAAGAGATGACTGCAATGCTCGTAAAAGGTGCTGCACGATTGGACAGACCTGGAGACTGATGTCCTATTGATCCCAAGAACAGAGGCAACAAAGGCAGACCGGGTCTAAGATTCCCCACTAGTGTGCATCATTCCTGCCCTAATGGCACCATTAGGTATCTCCACACTAGGTGTGTTTGTCAAACCTGATAGCTAACACATCATAAAATCCTAGTGGGTAGTTGGTGCCCAGGCAAGGCAAAGGGATTTAGGGGACACCCAGATTGTGACCCTGCTAAACTGCTACGTCCCTAGTCTACACTGGGATTTGAACACAAGAGCTAGTATTAGTGTAAACCACTCCCACTCAAGGTGGCACTGTGTGTGTCACCCCCTAGTGGTGGCTGTGTCACATAGAGGGTGATCTCCTGCTACACCCTGACTTGCCCAGCAAGGCCTTTTAGCTCAGGCAAGTAGAGGCTCATGACTGTACATCCAGAGGTGCTAGGTTCTTTCCCTATTGCCAACAGCTTACTCATTTTAAAAACACCTTTTATCCTAATGTGGACAGACCCTTTGAGAATGACAGGGGAATTCTGTCTTCACAGACAGTTCGATCTTTGTTCTCCTTGCTGGGACTACTTATAAGGCATGTATGTGGTGTGTGTGTGAGAGGGTCAGTGCTAACTGTGGTGAGATCCCACCTTCTCCCCCCCCCAAAACAACCTACATC